CTAATATATTTCAAAAGTTTCTATGCTCTATGCTATGGGATTCGTTTTTTTGGGTGCGATGACGTCATCAAGTGAGAATTGCGCTTCTTGCGGCGGTTCCGATTTCGCGTAAGCTGAAGCTCAAATCTCAACTGAAAGTAAAATAGATTTACAAAGACCAAAGATTTTAAACGTCGGAGAGAGTATCGCAAAATCAACAATCTTTATTGTTGAATGGGACATAATCGGTCAAAAGTCACGTCGATCACCATATGTCTATCAAGATACCGAGATATGAGCTTCCACGACCACCGAGTGCAAATAAGTGTGGCGCTTCACGAGCTAGGTTAAGCTGTTGAGGACGATGAAAGTTATGATATATATGTACGGAAATGGATACAAGTAACCTACCCAGCACCAAATTCCTCCATATGAGCACTAAATCCCGCTGAAGTTATTGTAAAATTGTTCGTTCGAGCACATGTCACGGCTGCCGAAACGGCGTCGTTAGTTTGAACTCCGAGGTACCAAACTGTGTCTTCTAGCTGTAAGTAAAATTTGAAATAAGTTGGACTTTTTTTATCTTGGGTCAAAGATTTATTTATATCCATAAATATTTATTCTACTTATGAATAATACGTACCTCGATTGCATAATAGTTCATCGATGAATTGCCAACATTTTAAATATAGAAATAAGGTAAAAGAGGATATACTCTTTCGTTTAAGAATTGAAATAATGGTAAATCTATACCTTTGAAATATCAAGATCTTCTTGTGGTATGGGAAGCGCGCATTTCTCCGCAAATGCCAAAAAAACTGATCCACACAGAAACACAGCCAACGTTAAGCAATTAAAACCCATTATTAGTGATGAATCTATTTCAAATTAGCAATCCACTACTGCTAAAATTAAAAATCAAATTTTAGTAAAGTTAAGTAAACTTGAGGAATAGTTGATAAGAAATGACAACGATGTGATAGCTTGGTACGGTTCAAGTCTTATCAATATTCGATAACTCAAGTTTTGGGTTTTTTGGGTTTACTTCCTGATTTATCTCTTCTTATTGATTCCCATAAATGACAATAAAAGTTCTGCACCGCCTTCCTTTTAATCGGGTCCGCCCCGGTTATGTAACAGTTGCATATTGTTGTAACATATTGACTTACAATGATGCAATTAAATAAATTACGTGATGGTAACATTGTTCTTGATCTCAAACTAAGACTGACAAATGATATTTCAAATAAATCGCAGCCAAGTTCGGATATTCTGATGGGGTTTCGCCTGAGAATGAAAAATCTTTCGAAAACCACACTTTCACCACGATGATTCCAAAGCACTACTTTACAAGCATAGAATCCACAATCAAATGCAGTGAAGACGGAATGAAAATGGCATTTCCTAGGCGGTTCTACTTTTGATTGATTCCACCGTAATCTTTGACGTGTTTTAGATAAACACGCTTGGATGGATTTGATTGACAGTATAAACAAAATATTTGTTTCTGAGGAATCGATTTATTACAGAACTTTTTTTAGAACTTTTGTCTAAAGAATATGCAAAACAAGCGTCTTCGAAAATCATTGGCCCAAAGAAGAGATACGTAAACCAATGATATAGGAAGAGCTTCATCATACGTGAGTGGGTATAATATATTATAAGAGATATAGCTGCAAGGAAAATCACTGTATCCACAGCGAAGCCATCAGTCCAAACTTGAACCCAAACTCAGTCTCATTCTATATTTTATTTAGAATTGCGCATCTGGATGTGGTTGTGAAGCTAATGTAATTAAATATTTTACAGTTTATAATGATTTAAAAAATATATTTTCATTTAAATACTCAAGCGCGAAAATGACCATCGATAGTTTGATTGCAGTGTAATTAAGACACCTCGTTGAAACAAAACTGATAGTGTTTGTAAATATATCTGTAGTTATTACAATTGTTGTAGATAAGGCAGGTCATGATGATGAAAGGTGTTGATGGAACATATGAACCATAAACGTTGTTGTTAAAAAACTTTTCACAATACCTTTGTATTGATCTAAGGGGTTCCTGGTCTTTTGATTTGATGTAGCGGGCTATATATTATGTATAATGATTTCTAAGAGCAATGTTTTGAGCGGCACCGTACCGCTAGCCTACTGTGACAGATTGCATACACGTACTATTTTGTTTTGACTTTCGCGTCCAAATATTTGAGCATTGCTCAAATTGGAGAATGGAGCAGGGTGTAATTTGACAGCTGGGGACGTCTAAAGGTCACAAAAAGGAAGGAAAACCGGTTCCAAGTTGATACGTTGTGAATATTTGGCTTGAATGCGACCGTAAAATACTTTTTGGACCTGGAAAACCCCCATGCGGGCCGGTATAGACGGGATGAAGTGTTCCCTTTAAAGATTGGCACGAATGTGTACGTGTGTTGCATTACTGAGTTCTTTAGAGATATGAACTTGGTTAGGAGGCTGCTCTCAAGTTGCTCTGCCCAAAGCTGGCATTTGAATTGTTTTCCACGATCTGTGACGATATTTTTTGTTGTCCCAAAACGTGATTGGCAACATTTTACGCGGAGATATCAGACAAAGGGATGCATTCTTATCAACGTGAGAAATGGTCTACGCACATCCGAATGTAGTTGTAGTCTCTGCTTAAACCAAATGGACCTAATATATCAACGTTGAACAGTGTTAAAGCATTCATTCTATTCAAATGTATGTGGGATTCGTGTGTGTGGGTTCGGTGGGATTTTTTATGGATTTAACAAGAGAATAGTTATCTATTACTAGCTGAATATTCCTGCATTTGAGTTGTGTGCTAAAATGACGTATCACAGCGTAATCAGCTAAGAGCTCACGATCAACACGAAATAGTTACTTTGTGCTAAATTGAGTGATTTTGAAACGAATCCTAGAGGCGACCATTCGCCGCCAACTCATTCCTGAAGAACGGCTGCCAGTGCTAATCGGCTGGAGTCGATTACTAAAGAGCGTCGATTACTAAAGAGCGTTGCAGAATTAATTGGATGTACGTATTTACAAGTCCGCATTTTCGAAGGATTAGGAAAAGTTTTCTCCGTGCTTGGCGATATTGTCCATCAGTTTTGGTTGCAATTAATATATCGTCTAAGAATAGGAATCTAAATTTCAAACCTGAAGTTACTGCCGACAGAAAACGAGAAAATGATGAGAAACAATCATTCCACAGACCAAATGGTAGGATTATTGGTCCAAACAATCCCTCAGGACAGACGAAAGCAGCCTTATTTATATCAAGGTGGGCAGAGGTATTTGGTGACATGCTTTCGAAAGGTCACATTTGCTAAAATATAGTATTTCATTTGCGCATGTGTGTAATCGGTTATCTGTCTTAAATACAAAATGTCGTGAATTAAGATGAATCATCTTTTTTTCTGCAACTTTACCGCAAGGCGAGTATTCATGTTATGCTCAGTATACCGCGAAAAACTCGTTCTAACTTAGACCTTTAGTCAGTCTGCTGTGTGCTGCTATGCTGTTACGTTACCCCTAGTTAACTCATCTGTACTTAACGGTGCCCGGAGTCTCTTTTTTGTAACGGATTTGTTTTTTCGGACATTATTGTTTTTATTTATATATATTGTTTGACTTCTTTCTATTCAACCTGTATCAAAGTTAGGTTTTTATCAGGGGTGTCGCTGCCCGATGTTCGCATCAAGACTATTTTCATTTTGGTGAATTGCCTCCTAGGCATATTGGGCTGCAATATTTGATTTGACCTTAGGTTTGATATTTAAGGCGTTTAGACAAGACTTGCACTCAAGTGCAATATACCTGTGAAGACCTGTTTTATGTCAATAGGTTTTCACTCTAAATGAAAAATTGTGATTAATATGTCTAAAATGCATGAGTTTTGTTGTGACAAATTTGCAAATTGTGTGGTGATGTGCCATGTCTGGTCCTCGAAGTCCTCGCCAACACCCATAGCAATCGCTAACTAGCTTTTATCGTTGTTCTGTATTTTGTATATATAGATTTTTGAGTTGTCTCTTTGTTGCCCCAGTTTACAGTTTGGTATTTTAACGTCACAGACAAAAAAAATGTAGGTCTAACTCAAGCAAAAGTTATGAGACCTCTCCATGGAACCAGACGTACATTCTGATCATTTTTTGTGTATATCAATCAACCAAGCAAAACACACAAATACATCATAACTTCTATATCGTTGAATGATAACATTGTTCAGTTCTGAATTGCTTTGAAAAAAATCTTTCAAATCATCATATTATAACGAAGTAATGAAATTCTGCCAACTAGGTTTTGTTGAGTTCCAAAAATTAAAAACAATACGAGTTGTTGTTCGGATGAAAAATCTCCAAACGCGGCCTTTTCCTGGGCGTCATTCAATCTGTATTGTAAACCTATAGAAAGCATTAACGAAACGCACGACTGCCGAAATGGAGCGAAATCTACTGAGCGAGGACCTATTAATAACTCGATAGCAAACCATTATTTGGAAATGCATTTTTTTGTAATGTAATTGAGGCTGCAAAAATTTTCGCCTTTGTCATTCGTTGCAGGCAATGAGAGGGTGAATCAAAATCAGCTGAACCTGGAAAATCTGAAGGAGCAAGAACCTATCAATAACTTCACAGGAAACCACTATTTTTAAAACTGCAAAAATTCTCGCGTTTGCCTTACGTTACGGGCAACGAGGAGGTGCATCGCAAATTACCTAAAGTCAATTTTGAAACTTTATTTATATAGTTAAGGATGGTTTTTGAAGTTGAGGTAAATTGTGTAATATCGAAAATGAACAATTGTGATTGCCCATATAATACTAATATCACTATAGCCTACTATATACATATGTTATTTGCTTAAATGTCAGGCACTAGTTTGGGATATAAATATTCAAAGCTTATCAATACGCAGATGGTGAAATGTAAAAAAGCCTAATGTAAAATACTTCGACCAAGTGTTGATTTTTGAAATCCGCTGCTGACTGGAACTCACGCTGATAAAAGAGTTTTTTGAGATGTCGTCGAGTTATGCTTTCGCACCGAAAAACTGGGGGGTTGGTTTGTATCTAACAGTTCCAAATAATGAGCATGAATCATCTTAATTTGCGCTATATACATTAATTGAATATTGCAAAATATCCAAATGTTTTCTATATATATATATATATTCTCATATATATAAACTTCGAGTCACCGAGCACATTGCTAAAAATCTTAGATTAAACAAAACAGAAATATAAGACAGAAAAGTTTCACTTATTGTGTATTCATGTTGAGTGCAGTTTTGTATTTCTGAAAAAGTTGACTTCAACTACAGCAATATTGGATAAAAAAATTTGATTTGTTGTTTTATTTCTTTTTAAATTAATTTTTATATTCATAAGTCTATATAAAATAGAATCATTAGATAGCTCTGCATCATGTTAACGATAAAAATGCTGGGACTGCTTTTACTTGTTAGCTGGTCAAATGCATTTGATGATACTCCAGCTTGTGCACAGATTGAAAATTTATTTCAAACACTTTGTGCCCGAGACGGGACACATACATCAATCGGAATGGAAACATCTCAGGGTCTCCGGGGAAGAGAGGACCAGTTGGAGAAAAAGGTGAAATAGGCCGGCCTGGACCCGTCGGGCCTCCGGCTATTGTGGATTACGAACGCATCGAGACTGAGATAGAAGAGAAGGTTGCGCCAGGTAAGATGATTTTCAGCTGGCGGTACAACTGATATATTGAAAATCACCAAAGACACTGTTCTAATAGAGATGTACCGATATATCGGGTATCGGCATCGGCAATATCGGCCATTTTTCGGTATCGGTCATGTATCGTTATCGGCTAAATATTACCGATATTTCCGATATATTTACCTTTTTGATATGACCCAGAATGTTTTAAAAGATAGGTTAAAATACTAGTTTTTAATTTATTTTTGTCTGGAGAGATGTCCCCACCTCCGCGAGTAGTAACGAAAATAGGATTCACCTGTTTTTAGATATTCACTAGCCAAACTACCTCAACTAATTTGGCTATTTTCGCTTCCAAATTTTTATATTGACATTTCAACATTACATACTATACATAGTATTTATGAATAAATATATCAAGAAAGCCCAGAAAAATGAGCAACTGGTGCCCAGTTTTAAATCATACAGTGGAATCGGAGTTCTTTTTTACAGCACATGCACTTTTTGACATGGCTATGAATTCTGACAATTTATCGTCAAGCGCGAGTGTCATTTAGTCCGTCGTCGTCGTTAAACTAAATCCAACACAATTATTCCCCTACGCAGGTATTAAATATTGTGATTTCAGTTATTTTAACTTTGTTTAAAACACAATTTCTTCATAGATTTATTGGCGTGGCCGCCTAAACTGTCTCAAAATATACGATAGTATAATAGTAAATATTATATAAATAGTAAAATAGAAAACATTCTCGACGTATTATAGGTACATCTAGTCGGCGCTGATTGAAATCCTTTTACTTTGACTGTAATTTATTGCCGCGACGATTACGATTAAACACAAAATAAAATATTTTAAAAATGCTTTAAATTGAAACGTAGGACGGCGGCGCTAGAATGAGCCGATATTCGTTATTCTTTTGAACACGAAAAACGATAATCGAAGGGCGCGATACTAATATTAAATTGGAATTGCACATCCCGGCTTATAAGTTTTCTAATTCAACACCGAGATTACTAGCGTCGGTGCACAATGCTTCTGAATCGATTAATGCATCGATACCAAACATCAATTTCTTATCTGATATATCTCTTTTTCAATCTCAAATAATGTGTACCATGAATAACGTTCATAGACCATTGTTTAATCGGTATCGGTATCGGCGACAAAAGTGGTATCGGTACATCTCTAGTTCCTATTCCTATGTTCGAATATGAGGACTCGACTCTTTGAAAATCCGTATTGCTTAACTTGTTATTATTTCCAAAACTGAACTCATAATAATACCGTTTGATTTTCGACATTATACACATCTGCAACAGATCCACTTTATAGAATAATTATATAACACGTGGAGCAATTTTAATTTTTTTTACTAAGCTGTTGACTTCATGTTTTTCAAAAATATTTACACCCTTTTTAGTTTTCAGTCAATCAGCTGCGAACAACAACGCCCTCATCTTGGCAATTGAGAAATTGGAAGAACGAATAAATATTCTAGAAAGCAGAGAAGGTATTCAGAAAAATACAACATCAATCTTTAAACCGGTATAGAGCTACGTTCTGCGACTTCGGCCAATAAAAAAAGTCCAAACGAAAATTCATCTCCTGCATAATCTTTGTAGTAATAAACATCGATTCTTTGGTACTCCCGTAGTGTGTGTACCAGGTTTGGGTTAGGGCATCATTTTATTCCGATTTGCCTTATTTTAGTTCTATTACGACTGTATGTGTTAGCCAAGTGAATATAACTCCTGCCCATATGTTTCAGTGCGTTTACACAACTTGATGTAACGTAGGCGAACAAAATTAATTACCTCCATATTGGTACACATACTTCTGGGGGCCGATTTTTTTACATAAGCTTATTCCCGCTTTTTCCTCGCCGACAGTATATAATTCAACAGTTAATTACCACATGTATTTTCCTATATTATCCAGGTGCGTGTGAGATAAAGTTCGACGGTAAATGCTACTGGGTAGAGAGTCTTGATCATTTTGTGACAGGCTATGAAAGATGGGTCGCAATATGTGCGGAACGGAATGGCTCACCAGCGAATATTTATTCGGAAAAACATTACAATGTCATCATGCGATACCTTCGAGCGAAAATATTTGCAAAGAGGGATCTGATTGCCCTATGGGTGGGAATGCGAACAAACCCAGATGTAAATAAATTTATACCTTTTCTTCAATTCAAATTGGTAAAAATGTTTTAACAAAGCCCGCATTCCTAACAAATTTTAACGTTTCTTGACATATGTTTATTGAAAATAAAGTGATTGTTTTGTAATTTTGAATTCTTGTTGTTACCGTATGAAAAAAGTCGCCAAGCGTGACGGCTGTCTTTCGTTTTGCTTTTTACGAACTGGTACTATGCGAAAGTCGGAGGTTATTTGATACCGGTACCCACTATAAACTAGGTACTGAGACTGCTTCGTTTTAAACTTCGTGTCATTATATATATAAACATTCTCTCTTGTTGTTCTCTGTTAGAGATATATTAAACGAGCGTTGCAGAATACCAATTTTATAATTTGTAATTACATTTGTCCACTCCAGGATGCCACACGTATACTAAATCAAAATCTTTTGCATTTTCCCTCGTCGCTAATTCTATGTTATGAAACGAAAATAAGCTTGACTTTGTTGCAAGAAACAATGTTGTTTTTCTTTGCAGACTCTAATCGTTACACTTTCCGACGGAAGTCTAGCTCCATTTATGAAATGGGCTCCTGGATATCCCTCTAAAGATCCTGCTTATACGCACATGACAATTGCTCAACGAGCTCCATCAAGTTCTGCCAGCATTGGTATTCACAACTATCCACCAACGTCCAGCAGAGAAGGCGTATTATGTGAATTATAGAGCAATAGCAATGCTTCGGATAATTTTCTTGACATGGAAATACTTTGTATTTTCATCTAAATCTGGGAGGCACCACTTTGAAATGTTATATATATATATGAAATATATCCAAATGTATAAAGGTAACAAAGTCTATTTTTAACGGTGTAGAAAACCATCTCACAACAAATAATTCTGTATCACACACCAGAACGCGAGTTTAGAATCTTATTGTGTACACCGAATCAATTGAAGCTATATTGGAAATATTGAAGTTTGGGTCGACGAGACGTGAGTTGCGCAAGTCAACCACAAGATCATGCTCTGACAAAAAATCAGCTGTGATCAGTCTCTGACAATAACGAGTAGACTGCGTGGTTGTGTAATATTTTCTTTAATTAAAACGGCAATGATAAAATTAAAATGCGATGAAACAGTAACTGACTTAATTTAAAGTTGGATTGAGGCAGAAGGTTACTTGTTGCGGTTGAGGTGCGTGTGGTCGCAGAGTTGAAAGTAGAGTGCCAAAAATTTGAAACCAAAAATATCAGAACGTGGCGAGTGAGTCATGTGACCAATCAACGGCTAATGCGACCCTGACCTAGATGTCGCTATAATTTTTTTGTTAATTTTGCAACCGTAAAAGCGGATTCCGCACTTCTGATTTAATCAGTGGATATGCGCAAATACTGCCAACGCGCGAGAATTACAATGTCTTTGAGCCTGAGTGAAATATTTGAGATTGCTGTACGTCCGTAGGTAACATGACGTCCAATAGTTTCCTAATTTTGCAAAATCGTTGCTCAAAAACTAAATGTCGTGAATTAAGATGACTCACCTTTTTTTTTTCTTTTTTCTGCAACTTTACCCTAAGGCGAGTATTCATGTTATGTTCAATGTTTGCTCAATATATATTCGATATGCTCACTATACTCAAATCTTCACTCAGTCTGCTGTGTGCTACTATGCTGTTACGTTGCCCGTGGTCACCTCACTCTTTTTTGTAACGGATTTGTTTTACGGACAATAATCTTTTTAATTATATTTATTATTTGACTTGTTTCTATTCTACCTGTATCAAAGTTAACTTTTTAATTATATTTATTATTTGACTTGTTTCTATTCTACCTGTATCAAAGTTAGACTTTTATCACGGGTGTTGCTGCCCGATGTTGGCATCAAGTATATTTTCATTATGGTGAATTGCCTCCTAGGCATATTGGACTGCAATATATGACCGTATGTTTGATATTTTTAATTTTGACAAGACGTGCACATCGAGTGCAATATACATGTAAAGACTTGTTCTATGTCAATATGTCTTCACCGTAAATGAAAAATTGTGATTTTATGTCTAAAATGCATCAGTTTTGTTATGAAAAATTCAAAAATTGTATGCAGGTGTGCCATGTCTGGTCATCGAAACTTTGCTAACGCCCATAGCAATCGCTAAGTAGCTTAGATGTTCATCGTTGTTCTGTATTTTGTATACCGTATATGATCGTTTTACCGCCCGATCTTGATTAAGAGCCCGTTTGAATAGCCGCCCGTGTGAACAGAACATAAAAATAAATAAGGGCCCGAGCTTGAATACCCGCCCGATGTAAAAGCTGATTTTTCAGTGGTAGAGAACAATAGAAAATAAGAAGCGGTCACAACGCTGTTGAATTTTTAAGCGCCGGTAGATAACACTCACGCCTTAGGCGTCCAAGTACATAACAGATAGCATTGATTACGTAACACCATGGTTCTCAAACTAGGCGTCGCGACGCCCAAGTGCGTTGTTTCAATATTGATAGGGCGTCGCAAAACTTTTCTTATTTTGCGGATTTGTACCTGCGGTGCGTAGAAAAAGTAAAAATTTTCGTTATTCTCGTTTAAATCATACTTGAGAACTGGAAATAACAATATATTAATTATTGTAACGATCGAAAATAACAAGCGCCCGTGCTTGAATAAGGGCCGGTTTGAATAAGGGCCCGGTTAGTGAGTTGGTTGAAAAAATATGGGCCCGGGCTATAAAACGAGCAAATACGGGTACATAGATTTTTGAGTTGTCTTTTTGTTGCCCAAGTTTACAGTTTGGTATTTTAACGTCACAGACATAAAAAAAAAATGTAGGCCCAACTCAAGCATGAGACCTCTCAAGAAAACCAGACGTACATTCTGATCATTTTTTTTTTAATTTTCAGTGATCAAAGATTGTTGTTGTCGCTAAAAGGCTATCACTGATATTCCATCCAAAATTTCATTGTAATATTTTTCTTTCGCGAGAACACGCTTTTTAATCCGCCAAGCGTAATGACCGTCTTCCGTTTTGTTTTTACGAACTGTTACTATGCAAAGGCCGGAGGGTATTAGATACAGGTACCCACTGTAGACTAGGTATCCAGATGTGGTAAACTATAGACTACTTCGTTTTAGACTTCGTGCCATTATATATTTGAACATCGTTCTCTTGGTGTTCTCTGTTAGAGATATATTAAACGAACGTTTGGAGAATACCAATTACATAATTTGCAATTACATTGTAAGAATGTCCAGGATGCCACACGTATACTAAGAAACAATGTTGTTTTTCTTTGCAGACTCCAATCGTTACACTTTCCGACGGAAGTCTAGCTCTATTTATGAAATGGGCTCCTGGATATCCCTCTAAAGATCCTGCTTATACGCACATGACAATTGCTCAGCGAGCTCCATCAAGTTCTGCCAGCATTGGTATTCACAACTTCCCACCAACGTATACTCGAGATGGCGTATTATGTGAATTAAAAAGCAATACCAATGTAACAAAGTCTATTTTCAATAGTGTAGATCAGTGGTTCCCAAACTTTTTTGACCATCGCCCCCCTAAAGTAGTTTATACAACTTCATCGCCCCCCTGCACTACAAAAAATATAAAGTCAGAAACGAATATATTACAGACCAAATAAGAAGACAAATCATAGTTTATAGTGTTTTTTAATGAGATAGATGAGCTTGGTGTCCTTCAGCGAGTTTTTTATTTATATTTAAAATTACCCCATTTACTGATGGAAAGGTGATTTTGTTGTTTTAATAGTAATAGTAGCCGGGCTGAAAACCCCTTTTTCACCATATAATAGGTGGGAAATGAAAGAATCCAGAGTTCTACCTCCTCAAAAACCGCCGTGTACTCTTGTCTTATAGCATTTCACTTCCTAAATTCACCCCATTTCACATTAAAATAATAAAAACAAAGTTAACTTTCCCAAACCTATAATAATGATTTTCTTACATTTCATTCATTTGTACAGCCTGATGACCTGCACCAAAATACTTCGGAAAAATCCATCCCCGATTCCTCATCCTATCACGGCCTCCAGTCCGACCACCGGTCCATAATTAACCAGCCATTTGTTTTTGGATTCATGGACTCGGATGTGGAAGAAGCCGTGACTGACTATTGGCTACGGCCCAGGGGTCGGCAATATTTATGTCGCTCGCAGGACAAAATTCAGAGTTGCTAGTCTTTTGCGGGTCGCATATATTTTTTGTTAAAAACGGAACAGCGCGCGAAAACTGCGACAATTCGTGAACTCAACTCAGTCGTCTTATTAAAAAAATATTACAATGATATTTAATGTGACACTGTCTTGTTGCTACATCGCGCTGGATAGCTTTACGACGCCAAAATTGAAACATTTTCTAAATGGGCATCACCAAACCCACTTCTTTGCTTGTTCTTTGTAATGTTCATTTTCGAAAATAATGGTTTGCACAAATATGTACTTCCAAACATCGAAGTGAATATTTTCACATGATTTGTGAAATTTTGATAAATATTTTCTTTAAGAAGATACATTCTTACAAAAATTAAGCAGTGATGAATTTCTCGAATAGAATATGAATTTTATTTTCTTATTGCTTTGCAATATATTCGAATATTTACTGCGCTATTGAACCCCTGCACTCAGCATCAACTTTTCTGCGTGTTTTCATTTGTCTAATTATAATTAAATTGTAGGCTCGTTAAACGAGTGGCTGTTCACTAAGTTGTTGTTAGGATATAGTATAATTTAGTCTAAACGTGACCCGCGATAAATTCTGTTGAGTAAAAAATGTAATTTACTCCTCGAGCGCAGATTATAAATAAAAATTTTCATCGTCAAAACCGCCGTTTGGATATTTCCCCGGGCATAGACTTCCTTGTTTACTTCGTGACATTGGCCAATCAGCAAGATGCAAAAAACGTAACAATACCCCCTTTCGCATCCGCTCAGGCGCTCAGACCATCTCACTCAGACAGTTTTTTAGGCGTGGTCGTGAGCACTACCTACCCATTTTTGCGTTTTTGTTTTTGAATTATATTCGTTAGTTTTTAGTTGTTTTTCGGAAATTTAAATATAATTCAAATAAGTCAATGATTACTTTGTCATTCTATGAGTTTCATTTTAAATACAGCAATCAAAAATTAATGTAGAAATAGCTGTGAAAGACTAGGCTAAAATTCTTTATCGGTACTTTTAAAAGACAGATTGTTAAATGGTGTGTATTAGAATGATAGTTTGAAACAAATATCCCATTTTACAAGCAACAACTCGCGAAACCACTCTTAAAATAAGCACCAAAATTTTAAAATGGTAAATTAGGGAAAAATTTTCCGCGGTCAAAGGTCGGAGAAAGGTCCATTCAGTGAATCGTCCCGGGCCAGATTATTTTGTTCCGGCCGACCACTGGGATACGCAAACTACCTTACCTTACTGCGAAGACGAGACCAGAAATCCTTTCGCGTGTGAATATCGCCCACATGATTCAAGCCGGCGAATGCACACAGAGTACAGAATTAAGTGCGCCGAACATAAAACAGCATTCGCGAAATCGCCCCCCTATCGCCCCCTTAGACTTTTTCGCCCCCCTCTGTATCGTTTTCGCGCCCACTGGTGGGCGATAGCGCCCACTTTGGGAATCACTGGTGTAGATAACCAGCTCACAACAATCAAATTTGGGTTCACACACCAGAACGCTTGTTTGGAGTCTTATTGTTTTGCACCAAATGAATTGACGCTTTTAAGCAATATTAATATTGAAAATATCACAAACGGACCTCGCCACATCACATCAAAGTTTACATAAAAATCTTTCAAGAACCACCACTTTCACTAATAGCATTCCAAGCACTACTTCACACACATAAAATCCACAATCAAATGCAGTGAAGACGTAATGATAATGAAAAGCCCTTTCCTAGACGTCTTGATTTTAATTGATTCCACAGTGATCTTTGACCTGTTTTACATAAACACACTTGGAGGGATTTGATTGACAGTATAAACAAAATAGTTAAACAGTGGTTTTAAGATAGCAGAGCAATCCCTTACGAATACTAATATATTTTTCAAACCGAAGTAACTTCCGACAAAAAAACGAGAAAATGATG